CCCAGATTCACCATTGATCCGTCAATAGCATTTCTTGAGTATGTACGAACAAAACAAGTGTAATGCAATATTTTGTTGGTTTCTGAGTCAAGCTGTAACGAATGTTGTAGTAACAATAACATGTTTTCAATTAATAGTAAGAAGTTTCCACGTGTCGTGGATAGTCGCGATTTGTCAATTGAAATGTGAATATTCTATTTTGTAGTTAGAAAAACATATCGAATAGGCTCATTCAATTTTTCTCCATGCATGCGTGAAATTATACGCCTATAAAAGACAATTCATTTATCTCTCCAGGGTTCGTTGTTCGATAAGTAAATCCGACAAGCTACTTTATTGGTGCATTCTCTGATTTCATTTATTGCACTACTTCTCAAAATACAAATCCTACTCTTAAAAAATTGTACCCACAACTCGAGAATGTTTTGGTATTTGATGATAATAGTATGTGACGAAGTTTGACTTCCACTTAAAATATTTAAAACATCCCCCCTAATTTCTAGAACGTTCCGTCTGAATTTAAACTCAGAGACATTCGGGTCCCCTGGGAACACGAACATTGCTATCATATTCATTAGAATCACAATAATGTAAAATATATTTGAATTTCAAAGGTGGTTATTGCTCATTCTCTTCTAATATTTTACTTCTCACATATCATCCTGATCAATATCTTCAATTCACTCTGTCGCACACCACTACTAGCACTGTTACAACAGCCCATACTTCCTCGCATTCTTTGTAACGGCTAAGTAATAATATACTTCTACATGAACCTGCAAAAGTGTTTCCAGCCAGCAAAACTTCGTTCTTCGCGCCGAGTTTCGTACACAAGTTCTTCGAGCTAACAAAGCACGTTACCGCTACGTCTTGCACTTGCTCGGTTTTCCCGAATCTTACAAACTAAAGATCTTTCCCATTAGAGGAAGTAATTTATTACACGTAGGAAGAAGATTTATCCACTTCTTCCTTACCAGAGACCAACAAAAAAAAAGAGTTGTTCTGTCAAAATTGCCAATTTACGCCGGTGGTTTACAAAATTCTCACTTTATCAGGAAAGTAGTTATGCTCCCTGGTACGTTAGTTACACAAAAAAATCGACCTAGAGACTACAGACCATCATATCACATATCTAGTTACCAACTTCTCAAACATACCCCAAATCCCTTCACTATCAGTTCATAGACTCGGCAAAAACCCTTCAGATATAAGCAGAATAAAAAATAAATTTCCCTTTCATGTTTTACTCAAGAAATTCTCCGAACTAGATCCCGACTAGAAGAGCCCGATGGGTAACGTCAACCTCTTACTTAGTTTTAAGCTTTACCTCTCAACTTAATTTTAAGCTTTAATCTGAGTTAGCTATTAAGCCGTCCAACATATGTGTAGTTAATTTAAATTAAAGTATTCAGCATCTGTCCAAATAAACGAAAAAAAGCTATAAAATTTTATGTCAGTAGTTCCAGATCATACACGGAAATTCTGAATAATAGAAAATGGAGGTGAGGATGTCTGTTGTTCCATTTCATTGCAATTATTTTATGCTACTTCAGAGCTGTCAAGTTCAATGGGGTAAACTTACAACAAAAGCAACTGACTATTACAGCAAAATAGTAATTTATCTTATAATATATCTTTTCACTATAGGCTATCTTAAAACGTATTAACGTCATATGTCACGATTTGTGAGGTTCAGCCTAATTTTCATTCTATGCAAAATCGAGTACTTCTCACTTCCCCTCAAGGTCAAACAATCACTTTTATAGATAGAAACGGTTTCGTTCGACAGAAACGTTAGATCATTCATCATCTCGCCGAGGAGCGTCCAAAGTCTCGCGTATTCCGGCCAATGACGCCGGGAGTGTCCGCGGGGCGAAAGGACAGAGCCGAACGCAGGTGGCTACAGAATACAGGAACGCCGACGCGACAGACAACACAAACCGGAGACCGGCCGATTCCTCAGTGACAGAAGTAATTTCCGCTGAATCATCTCAATTCCCCCAATCTCATTACCAAGCGCCGTTGCCTCGACCCTTATTTTCCCCAATGGTGGGGGGGGGCGGGGGCGTCGGTGCCGAACCGCCGTGGAAACAGAGGAGCGGGCGGCGGAGAAGCTTTCTTTAAGTCACTTTATTCCATTACGCTCCGCGCCGAAGCGGGCGGCGCCGCTCGGAGACAAGGGGCGGGGCGACTGAGGCTGAGATGGGGAATGAAGTCCCCGAGGATGAGGAAGATTTGGAGGTGAGGGAAACGGGAGAGAGTGGTGGAGGTAGTGGTAGCAAGGAGGCCCGATCATGGCGGTGTTCCAAATTTGGACGCATAGACGCGTTCTAGAAAACCGGAAGTTAAGGGGAGTTTTCATGATAAATGCGTATTTATAATTCTAATTCATTTGAACATAGAAACCATTGAACAGTAGCATTCACATTAACACGTCAACCGCACGATTCAATATGCTTATTAGTTAATTCCCTTAACACTGATCAAAATCATGAAATACGTCAATGAAAGGGACCGGCAATAGTGGAACGCAAAGGGGACGAATATTAGTCACAGAAGTCAGGGTTGAGTGGGATCATAATTGTAAAAGAAATGCGTCGTCGGCAAGGGCAGATGGCACTTGTGGCCAAGAAGGCAGGGAAGACGGAGGCGTGGCGGCAGTATTTGGTAGGGAACGCCTCCTCGATGGCGTTCAAGGGATGTAAGAGACGCGGCCGGGGGCGGCGCCGGGAGAGACGAGAGCGGAGGCGTGGGCGGAGGCGGACGCGGACGCGGAGCGGCGCGCGAAACGAAGGCGGCAGATGGGCGTTTTCTCTCAGCGGGAGGGGAGGGCGTGGATATTGTTTCTGGGGTTATCGGGTTAGAGCCCGAGCGAGGACGGGGGCCGGGGTGGGGGCAGGAAGCGAGGCGGGGCGGGCGCAAGCAGCCGACGTCGAAGCGTTCGCCTCGGCCCCCGCCCCATGCGGGTCCCGGCGGGCGGCCAGGGCCTACTACGTGTCCCCGGAGCGGACATGTTCCGGCCAGCCGGCCCCTCGCCACTCCGCACCACTCCGCGCCGCGCCGCCCGCGTCGCGCCTGCTTTCCAATATTGCCTGCTGTTCCACTCGGGCCTACTACGTCGCGGCTGGGGGCGGCCCCACTCTCAGGTTTATCGCACGCTCGTGTTATGGCTTGCACTCTCATGTGATCACAGTCGTAAACTGCGACGTGGTACTACTACTCGATTTTTTAGCGTATGTTTTTCCGGCTGGAGTGCTGTTGACCCAGTGTGAAATCGCATTATAGAATGAAACACAAGCAAGGGAGCGTACAAAACGATGAAATAATGTAATAATATTATTGCGATTTAGCGTCGGTTGTGTGTTGATTCCTTTTGGAATAGTTTTAAAGCAGTACTGCCTCGGGGAAGAACCAAATCGCGTTTATATTTGATTTATAATCTAAATGCTTATTGGAAAGAAGTGAAATACCGCATATACAACGGCACACAAGCACAATGCCTTTGACGAAACAAATCGGAAATGCTGATGGGAATCAAATAAAACGCTCAAATAAACAGGAACGATGAATGCTTTATTAGTCCACTTGCATATTGAGTGAAACAACGGTGAACCCGCTGGATATACATTTGAATTAACACCAAAATCTGTTAGGCAATACGAGCCAAAGGATGAGTTGAAAACCCTGCAGCTTCTACAAATTTGAAGCCAGAGGAGAAACGTAATACGTTTCAGTACCATTTTATTCATCAGATTTAAACAAAGAGAACACTCATTCTAATGATAAATTGACAATTAATTATTCACCGAATAACATTTTAATGCATCAGTAAAAAAGTCAGATTTAGAGTTAAGAGGTTTTTTTAAAAAACAGTCTTCATAGTTTACTGTTTAATGCGTAACAGCAAGTTGCCACTAAACTGGCACCTGAAATGTTTGTAAAATAGTAAGAGTTTAATAATAAGATTGCAGTCGTAGATCACTTTGGAATTAGGTACTCCAGACGTTTCTTTGTAGATGGAAATTAATTCTTATGGCACAACGTTCAACATTTCTTTCAATTAACCGCGCCAATTTTATTTATAATGGATATTGTGAATGTAAAAATTGTGTCCGGCAGCTCACTTTGAGAAGTAGCATGTTTCACAACGTCTAATGCAAATATAAAAACAATATATCGATTCAGGTTAGTGGATTTAAAAATGTAAGAAAGATATTAAAAATCATGTCTTTTTGTGTTTGTTTAATGAAAAAGAAACATCATGGAGTTGTATTCATGCAATGCCTATGTTTTAAATGCAATGTAATAGTAAGCATTCAAAATGGAAAGGGTTTTAGCTATCTTAACCAGCCATCGCTGCCCATAACCCTCGAAGGGCTAGGTAATTAATTCTTTTTATTGCTCTGGGAAACAGAAAAAGGAAGCTAAATGGGAGTAATAATTTCATTTTAAATTATTGTTTCTAGCATTCATAAAGTACTGCATTTTGTATTTAGTTCGTTGGATGATATATATTCAAAGAAATTATTCTAATATTTTTATATTACTTGTTGAATAGTTTACGTTTACGTTTCTAGCAGCTCATTCGTAAAACACGTGATCTACAAAAAATCATTGATATCATGATATCATTTGCATGATGATAAGAAAAGAGTTAATTCACACACATTTAATTCAGAATTAATTATAAATCTAAACAAATAAATGCTGTGAAATTATATATATTCAAATACTTGGTAACTTTTCGTATAAAAGCATGAGAAATGAAATTTCATTAAATAATCCTTTAAAAATAATACTCCAACGACATATTAGAACAATTTTATTGATGATGATAAATAATATATCATCACAGAAAACTATAGTATACAGAAAAGTGGCCTTTCTTTTGCAATTCGTTTTGGCGATGGCAGGGTAAAAATATCTTAGCCCTTGTAGGATTAAGAACTCGCAAGCAAAAAATCGTGAGGTTTGTGTTTTACATTACCCAAAACTGGTGGTCATCTGTGTATTTTGCTTTCCAACTTACCTGAAAAGCAAAAAGAAACAAAAATCAATGTCTGTTTAATCATTAGTCAATTTTAATTGCTGAATATAAACACAATTAAACATTAGCAAGAAATTGTTGTTTAAAATTCCTGAAAGAAAATATTTATCACCATAGGAGATCTGACATAAATTCTCATATCTGACACAATAACCAAGTACTACATTTATCTAATCCTCAGGGCCCATTTCTGACGCGAAATATTGCCATAAATTTTTCCTCTAATTGCAAGCACGATGTTTAATTGGAGTTTCGCGGGATTAAAATTACCAATCAAATTACAGATTTTCCTTTCACTAGCTGATGCAATTAGCTTTCAAAACACACACCTAGCTCCCTCTCACTAACGAGAACGTAGGCATTTTCGTTTCTCCCCTCTCCCCTAGTATAATCTCTGTGACGGTGCGTGAGCTTTATAAATTAGAGGGCAACTTCGAAATAGGGACTCGCAATAAATGTTGGGCGGGGCGCTATACAAGGCTGAGCAGAATTAACTTACTTTGTGTGGATTAAAGGCAGACAGTGGAAAGAGATGTGAAAAATTCCGCTTCTTTCTGAAGTAAACGTACCGTTGAATTTTTCGCTTCCACGAGCGTAAAATTTTAAAGTTATTTGAAATTGAATGCGCACGTTACTATGCGCAGCTACTGCTTGATGTAGATGTTAGTGGGACGATAGATGGATAGAAAGTTACAATGTTTCGAAGCGTGGCAAGATTACGCTCAGTAACACAGGACCCAGGGAAAACCAGTACATGATATAAATTGAAATGGAATATATTCGGATATACTGCGGATAAATATTCTTACATATATCAAAGCACAAAGATTCAAAAAATGGGTTGGTCCTTTAAATTGAAATGTTTATGCGGATGAGCAATCAATGTAAGTCCTAATCCTAGAGAGCCATCCGTCGAAAGTACAGACGATTTTTTGTGGGCATATCTTATGAAGTATTACGGTTGATGTGGTTCTGAGTTCCTTATCACATCTTTTTGTATTAATGATGTGGTTTTCAGGAACATTCTTGACCATATTTAAGATAAACATACTAGTTTTAAACTATTGCATTTATTACATATTATTGTAATTCATCCATTGCAACGTTTTGATAACCAAATTTGCCTCATCATCAGGCACCAAAACGTTGCAATGCAGTTGCAATAGATGAATTATAATAATGTGTAATAAATGCAAGTTTAAAAGGAATGTGTTCGTCTTAAATATGGCCAAGAATGTTCCTGAATAGTAGAGGTTGACGAACAACAAGTGTGATAACGATGTGGTTCCTTCCTTTGATTGTAAAAGGGAACACAACGAAATGCTTCAAACAATGCACCAAATTTTCAATACGTTAACACCAATATAGCTGCATATTTTTTGAAATGATTGATATATGAGGTTTGAAGGATCATACTTAACGTAATATTAAAAGGACGTTTTTTGTTTGTTCTAATATCCGATTTGAGTAGATAATTTCATTAAATGAATCACTGAAACTAAAAGGTTTTGGGAATCAGAAAAATATACTATTCTCTAAATTCACTGCCACTGTTAATACAATATGTAACGCTTGTTGTTTCTGTGTATAGCACATGACGTGACAGGTTCTCGGCCTAAAAAAATATTTTCGCAATATTTTTAGAAGATTACTACACGTTCACACAAACTTGGACAACGCTAACAAACTGTAAGTCTCTATATAAGCGTTCGTATTAATTCAAAATACAAATACTCTCTTTGTCATCATCAGTTTTAATCACACCTCAGTCGCGCTGACATCTTGTACCAACGCTTTCATAAGTTACATTCATAAACTTATCAGCCGTGAATACGTGATTTGTCCGTATATGTAGCTCTGGCGTTAGTCGTCATAACCAAGAACCTCTATAAATAGCATAAATTTTACTTTTACATATGAGATTAACTCTATCAAAAATTAAAAGTTTTTTTAAACGTAATTAAAATACATATGGATTTGTCAGGTCAAATCCGCCAAAGTTGGGATAATATATTCGGCGTGATTATTCAATATTAAACATGGCAAAACTGTTAATGTTTTTTTTACTATGGGAGGACGAACAAGATGTCAGACTAAAGAGAAGTAGAAAGAGGAGTGAACAATATTAAAGTGGAACAAATACTACATTTACAAATCATTGAGAAGAGGATTTCTAGGTAAGCTACGATCACTTTGTGATTATGACATGACAACACTGATAAAATGCAATTAACTTATGTAATTGTTCATTATTTCACAATTCATCCTTCAAGAACTCCAAAGATTCCATTTTGTATGTAGGATAATAAAATACGACGTCTAAAAAACATCAATTTGCATGCACTGCCTTCTCACCGAAACTCAGCAAACATTCATTTAAAATACGTAATTATATATATGTTTCACGTTTGTAACTAATTTTGCTTGTAGGATACGGAAAGATAAAACGCACAAGAATATTCTAAAGTTTTATTACAATTATAATTATTTCAAGTTTCGTGAAAATGGATCTGATATCCTTATTCTTCAATATTTTAGTATGGTTTAACGCCGGACTTTGAAATGTTTGTTTAATAACCAAAGCAATTTATAACTTTATGAAATCTAGTACTCTTTTCTTATTATATGCAACTTAACTAAGAGTACAGCTGTTTGTCAGAGAGAGACGAAGAATGAGAGGGGCGAAAAAAAGAGAGAATGGAAGAAGATTAGAAAAATACAGTGCCTTGATACTTACATCTGGAGAACAACACCTTATTTAAAAAATTAAAAAGTTTAGTGAAAAAGGGTATGGCAATAATATTTAAGAAGAAAAATTTGTTAAAATTATTATTAAAGCAAATCTGACATACGAATAAACTTAACGTGTTTAAAAAGTTGTTTGACAAAATTTTCGAACACAAACCCGCTAAGAATACAATTCCCGATTCTCGAAGTATCAAAAGCTCAAGCTCTCAACGAGTCGTTCAACATCACTGCTGAGAAATAAATTACAAGGCATCCTCCGAGTGCGATAAAATCGCAAGATCTATCTAATTAAAGTCGTAGCCATCGACTCCGTTAGGTAAAGTCTCGAGGGAGGATTTTATCCGAACTCCAGAGACTCTTCTTTAATTCAATCGTCCACGCGATGAAGTTTAGGGAAGAAAAGCGACAGGCACACGAGTGGAAGCTAAGGAAAAAGAAATACAGCTGAAGCACATGACCGAGAATAGCCTGAAGGAAAAAAACCGAAAACATAACTATCGAACTTGATTTTGAATTCAAACGAATTATGTTTTTTTGGAAACTTCAGACTCGCGAAAAAGGGAGATACACACTCAATATGTGATAAATGATTTTTTTTTAATTTCAGCAGGCTAGGTAGTACGTAGATGGCTTGTAATTTGGAATAAGAAGGCGCTTTTTTCTCTTTTAGTGACTCTTCCATATAATAATATTTCTTTCAGAACAATATTGGTGGAAATCGGAACTACGACAATCTTCTTGCTCGAGAAAAAAAACAACATATTTTTCCTTAGTTCTGAGATCCGAATGTAAAACAAGTTGCATTATGAATAGCAGAAGAAATCAACATTTTAGGGCAGAAATGTATACAAATATTCCCCTCCGATGTAATAATTCATTTTAAAGGCAAATGAAACTACAGATGTTGGATTTTTATTGCTCATCATGTCCTTCGTAAAGGTATATACTTATGGCAGGCACCAAATGGAGACCCATAATTTGGAGAACTATATTACCACTGTCTAGAAGACGTGCACAGATTATGAAGTTACATTTTTTCCAGAGGAAAACAAGAGAGCATTTGAGTATTTGCTCAAGGGATCAGAAAAACTGACAAAAACCTTATCATATGGTTCTATACTCAAAGCTTTTAATAAAGCGCGTGGATTACTGAAACCTCGCATCTGTTGAATATATTTCACATACATTTTATGATGTTAATCTGTTAATGTTTGTTTAATATGTGAACGTACGACAACGATGAAGGAATTGTTACATTGTAAGTAAAGGTGACTTAGTATGAGCAATCTGGCTGCAGTTAAGAAGGAATTATGATTAGCAACAAATTAGAAGCATAATTTTAGAAGTAATTGTAGTTTTGTTGCTTGTACAGAGAACACTCGAATAGTAAATACAATACTATTTTAAATTTCAGACTGAGTGAATGAAGATGGACTTTTTTAAGTTTATTATTATATTACAACAATGTTCTGACTGAATGACTCACTTCTTGTCGAAATTCGGAAAAAACTATAAAAACATTAATATTCAGCAATGCGATGTATATTAAATTATTTGGTCCAAATAAATTATTTATAACACTGTTTTTCCAATCATTGACTCATTAAACTGAGAATTTTTGTACAATGGGAAACATTTAGGTAGTGGAATCATAAATTCTGTGAAGCAATGTAGTCGCAAGAAACTAAAAAATCAGTTTCAATACTTGGAGTCGTATTGTTCAACAATGGCAAAGATCAAGCGCAAGACGCCTAATCAGTTTGAATTTACATGAAAATCTTAAGTTTTCAACACTCTAATTTATATAAATTCAACTTAAACAGAAGCTTATTTTTTTTAT